TCGTGCACTCTATCAGCGCTGCCGAGGAGAGCCGTCCTCACGACCTGCACCAGCCGCCGTGGACTTCAGCACAGCTGAAAATTTGGTGTACAACGAGCCTTTCTCTATGGCTGAGCTCACGTCTGCCATCAGCTCGTTGCGCAGCGTCTCAGAAGGTCCGGATGCTGTCCACAACGACATGCTCCGTCATCTCCCAGCAGTTGCCCTCGAGGCGCTGCTAGCAACCTTCAATTCGCTTTGGGAGACTGGCACTTTCCCTGAGACCTGGCGGGAAGCCACTATCATTCCTATCTTGAAGGCTGGCAAGTCGGGACATGACCCTCTCCATTATCGGCCCATCTCTCTCACATCATCGCTATCAAAGCTGATGGAGAAGATGGTCAATGTGCGTTTTAGCTGGTTTCTGGAACATCATGGTGTTTTTACAAACGCCCAGTGCGGTTTTAGAAAGCACCGCAGCCCTGTTGACCACATTTTAGCCCTTGACACCGAGATACGCACCTGTTTTACTGAAAGGAAGCACCTTGGAGCACTGTTCTTTGATATTGAGGCGGCCTATGATACAGTCTTACGACACAGCATACTTTTCAAAGTATATAAGTACGGCATACGCGGCCGGATGGGCCTCTTTATCGAGAACTTTTTATCGGGTCGTCGGTTTAAAGTCCGAGTCGGTAACCAGTTGTCTAGCAGTTTTATCCAAGAGAATGGAGTCCCTCAGGGAGGGGTGCTTAGTGTGGCGTTATTCGCAGTGGCGATTAACGATATCGCCGATGATCTCCCGGTCTCTATCGGCAGATCGCTTTTTGTTGACGATTTTGCCATCTGGTTCGCCGCTTCCAGCGCTCGGCACATGGCCAGACAACTGCAGCTTGCAGTCAGACGGCTTGAGAGATGGAGCCGCGACAATGGTCTCCGTTTTTCAACGAGGAAGACTGTTGCCATGCATTTCTGTCGCCGCCGCTGCGCCGACCCTACATTGGGTATCCGTCTGTACGGACAGACGATCCCCACGCAGCCGGTGGCGAAGTTTCTTGGTATGACGTTTGACGGACGTTTGACGTATAAAGAACATTTTAGAACGCTTCGGGAACGATGTTTTAAATCCCTGAACGTTTTAAAGTGTGTTGCCCGCACATCATACGGTGCGGATCGCAAAACTCTGCTCCTCTTGTACCGGTCGATCATCCGATCGAAGCTGGACTACGCGTGTTTTGTTTATGATTCTGCAAGCGAGTCCAGCAAGAAGTCCCTGGACGCAGTACATCACGCTGCGCTCCGCGTTGCCACCGGGGCTTTCCGCACTTCTCCAAAGAGTAGTCTTCTGGCTGAAACGAATGAGCCACCTCTAGCTCTTCGTCGCCAGATGCTGGGGATGCGTTACACTTTGAAACTTCGCCAATACCCAACGCATCCGACGTACCCGTACGTCTTTTCACGTCACGCTACTCGATCTGACGGGAGGGTACGACCGTCGTTTGGAGAACGCATGGGAGGTCTTTTTTCAGCTGCTAACATATCCTTGCGTGGCGTTCGGCGTACCTGGGACACGCCCCCTCCACCCTGGAAAAACGCCAATCCGCAAGTGGACCTCTCACTATCGACTGTTAAGAAGGACAACTTGTTGCCTGCTGAGGCGCGAGCCAGAGCCTTAGAGCACATTGCCGTTTATGATGGTTTTATCACGGTTTATACAGACGGCTCGAAGACAACCGAGGGAGCGGGCTGCTCTTTTGTCGCTGGTCGTGACACCCGCTCGTTTTCTCTGCCACCTTCCGCCTCGGTGTTTTCTTCAGAGCTAGTCGCTATAGAGAAGGCTTTGTGTTTCATCGAGGTTTCTGGCAGTCCCTTTTACTTGATTTTATCTGATTCTCTTAGCAGCTTATTGGCCTTACGTACTTTTAACTCAGTTGACCCCATCGTGCGGGACATTTTAACTCGGCTTACGTCGGTGGAGCAATCTGGAAAATCAGTCCGTTTCTGCTGGATTCCCAGTCACGTCGGCATTGAAGGCAATGAGCTTGCTGATGCTGCTGCCAGACGCGCCGCCGCAGCACCCTGCACTCGGCGCTTGCCTCTGCCTGCCCGGGATTTTTATCCGCTGGTGCGACCCTTCATGCTTTCAAAGTGGCAGGCAGAGTGGGATTTGTGTGTAAGGAACAAGCTGAGAGAGTTGAAACCAACTCTAGAGCCTTGGCAGTCTTGCCTGCAAGGCAATCGTTTCCAGGAAGTGGTCCTCTGCAGACTCCGTATTGGTCACACATACGCGACGCACAGCTATCTCCTTTCAGGAGGTGAGCAGCCTTTGTGCAACAGGTGTTCCGTGCCTCTAACCGTCGCTCACGTTCTTTTATCTTGCCCACTCTTTGAACGGAACCGGACACGCTACCTGGGCTGTATTGCTCCTGGTACCACTATCCGCCACCTACTGGGTGACGAGTCACCCTGGGTTTTATCCGGCAATATTTTTTCCTTTATCCGTTCGGTCAACTTCCAGGTGATTTACTCAACCTGACCCAATTCCTCTCTAGTCTACTTGTCTAGTCAGTTGATTGTTACGACGCTCTTGCGTTGTTCTATCTTACCTTGCCGTTTTTATCAAGTCTTTTACTTTCTTAGCCTTGGTATATAGAAGGTCTCTTGTTTTGAAACACTTGGTTTATTAGAGTGACGTTATGGGCGCAAAATGACCTTCGCAGTCGGCGCGCCCTAAAGCCCCAATAAACAACAATAGCTGTCGTTTCCGTGGTCTGTATGACATTTCGTCCTATCCAATTTATAAATAGCACTCCCAGCATGTCAATTAACAATTAACGTTTATTCAACGTTCCTCCGCACTACCAGCGTTCCCCGGCGCCTATTCCCCACGCTTCTTGCGGGCACGCTTCGCTTCATCGTTGCACTTAGCGGTGATGATTTTTCTGATATCAGATTCTTGTAGTTTCAGCTTCGAGGAGCAAAACGCTGAAAAAAATAAGGGCCAAATGAGTCTCAATCATTGATCTTACGATTGAAAACTTTACAAAATAAAAAATCAACAACCGTATTTTCATAACAGTGAGATGATTTGAAGAAAAGAAATCCGTATAATTTTTAGTCATTTTTTATCTAAGATTCTGCATCTTAATATTTCTGTTCGTGCTAGACATTAAAATTTGAGAAAGATTGCAACACCTACAGTTCCAAAACTCACGTTTATGAAAAATAATCACAAAAATAAAAACAACATGGGCTTCTAAATGATATTGCGTGGTATAATGACATTCTATATTAATAATAACCTGATATTAATGTGCAGTCTACCTACAACTTACATATGATAGCTGACACTTTCATCGGGTCCAGGCGGACTTTCGCCACCACGCCGGACTGCACGTGATGACTGCACGTAATGACATTCATGCGTCTCTGTCAACTGCCATGCGCCGTTTTGAGTTCTTCTTCCGGGTCTTCAAGTTTCTGTTGCATTAACATATTATCGATGATGTTCTGGTTTACATTTGTTTGTAGACTTTGTTGTGGTCTCTGCGGTGTTTGCCGCGGCCGCAGATTCCAGAGTCATTTTGCACATTTCTTGCGAAACAACACAGCTCGGCATACCCCGTACCGCACAAAGTACAACACTCGGGCCAGCTTTGGACAGACTCGGCGTCAAGGCAGCCAACGAGCGTTGTCCGCACTCCTCCTTCCATTGCCAGCATTAACAAGGAGCTGGCTTTCTAGAGTCTCGTCTCCGAACAGCATGGTTTGCAGGGTCGTCTTCGCAGCTGTCCCACGATATACCATGAAAGCGAGGTGGAAGCCTTTTGCCCGAAGCTTGAGTACCTTGAACCAGATAGAAGGAAATTAACACCTCCCCCTAACCGGAAAATGGCACACAACCAACAAACACCAAACAAAATAGGTAGCATAAACTAGCATAAACTAACTCAACTACAACACAACAAAAGACAACCTCGTCACACCCAAGGGAGCCGTCTCCGGCGCCCTGGCACCGCAGCCTGGAATCTGGACGCGCCCCAACCTCAGGCGCCGCAGCCATCCCGGCAGCCACCCCATCATGACATTGGTCTCCAACACAGTCGTTCCTGCCTCGGTCTGAAGGCCCCTGGCTGCACTTCGCTCCCCCTCCCTCTGCTCCTGAAGGTTAGCGCCGCACGCGCACATATGCGTGCGTTTCCCGTCCGTGGGGCAAAACACTCTCGGCACACCTTTATGAAAGGTTGTTCATATCTAGCACACAAAAGTAAGAGGAGCCAGCGAGCGCCTTCAAAGCATCGTCAATGTGCGGTATGGGGTACGCAGGCAGGTTAGTAATGACATTCATACGTGTCTGTCAACTACCATGCGCCATTTTGAGTTCTTCTTCCGGGTCTTCAAGTTTCTGTTGCATTAACATATTATCGATGATGTTCTGGTTTACACGTGTTCGCAGACTTTGCTGTGGTCTCTGCGGCGTTTGGCCGCAGATTCCAGAGTCATTTTGCACATTTATTGCGAAACAACACAGCCCGGTATACCCCGTACTGCACCACCAAGTGTAACTTTCGCGCCGGCAGCCGCCGCTCCGACCAAAGTCTCAACAATGTCAGTAGCAACTGATCTGTGACTGTATTTGCTGGTCGCTGCTGCCTGTGAACGTGCGAGTAACGTTCTAGCTCTGCCATTTTCGCATCCTTCGCCTATATCTATATCGGAAGCTATATCGTGGTTAACCCATCTCCAGTCAGGTATCGACACCACAGGACGATTGTCACACTTCGCTCTGATAGGCTGCAGTTCCTATCATGCGTGGAGCAGCGCTTAACCCCACACTACGTCCGGCTCGAAGCCTCGCTTGGCGTGCCGCTCAGTTGATGGGCATTTGGGTCATGTACCTCCGATATACGACCGGCTCTGTACAGCCAGCCCCTCACAATCATCACTGCATTGCACGCCTGTGTATCTATGTGTCTGTGTATTTGTCAGTGTGTGACGTGCTCTCGGTGCCGGCCCGGCAGGAGATGAAGGAGGCCGCCGGTGAGGAGGAGGCCGAACTCGCTGAGGAGATGGCGCAGGCCTTCCTCTCAGAGAACCTGCCCGAGACCATGTTCGGCGCGCCCAAGGCCGGGCCCGGCATGTGGGCGTCCGTGATCCGGGTGATGGACCCCGCCGACGGCCGGACCACGCATCTGGTGCGGCTGGAACAGAACGAGGCGGCTCTCAGGTGGGTACAGACAGCTGACAGACAGACAGACAGACAGACAGACAGACAGACAGACAGACAGACGGGCGAACAGACGGGCGAACAGACAGACAGACAGACAGACAGACAGACAGACAGACAGACAGACAGCCCCGCAGGGGGCTGACCGTGGTCAGAGCTGCTGCTTAGCCGGGGTCATCTGGCTCCGGCTGTGCGGCGGCTGTGACTTCGGCCAGTAAGGGGAGTAGCGCCCCCTCGGCCCCAGCTTGACGCGCGTTTTGACCTGGACTTGCCTTGCTTACTGGATGGATTGTCTGCAGGATTGGCCCCGCAGGGGGTTGGCAGTGGCCGGGGTCGCTGTCGGACTGGGTTCCTTGGGCCTTTGCCCCGCGGCGGCCTTGGCCTCGGCCAGCAAGGGGAGTAGCGCCCCCTCGGCCCCAGCTTGACCCATGCTTGCTTGCGACTTGCTTTGATCGCTGGTTGGACAGATGGTACGGCCCGACTTTTCTTGGTTTTCGTGGTTTTGTTTCTCTTGAGCGGTCTCTGTTTGCTTTTGCTTTGCTTTTCACCGGATGTCCGCGTTTCTTTCGATCACAGCTTTCTGATTCTTTTCCTACCTTTTTCGTTGTTTTTGCACCCGCAGGAACACAGCCGAGTTGGGCTAGTGTAAGGGGAGTGGCGTCCCCTCGGGTACCAGCCGGTTTTACTAGGCTAGGCGAGCCGACCCGTACCCCAGGACAACGGGATCCTGGAGGTTGAGCCCCCCACCGTGCGGAGCCAGTCGCGGTGGCTGGGCAACACGCCTCTTTGGCCCTGAGTTCTGTAAGGGCGGGACACTCAGTGGGGCGCCGCACTTGAGGAGCCATTCCCAGTCGTGACGCCGCCGGGGGTGGTGTCTGAGAGGTGTCGCCGGCGGGGTTCGGGCACTTGTGCTCGTCCTCCGTCGGTGGGACTGATCTGTCGCTGCCCCTGGCGGTGACTCGGCTAGGCGTCAAGGGAGGAGGCGGTATCCGACCGTGGGGGGTGGTGAGTCTCTCTCTCCCCCGCGGAAGGTGCCGCCAAGTCCCGTACAGTCAGCTCGGCCGTCCCAGGCCTTGTAGCGGCGCCGTTGCGGAGCGTCGGCGGCCGAGCTGGCGGAGACCAAGCACACTCCATGGATAACTCGACCAACCCCCCTTCCCCCACTCTTACCAATCCTTCGGCCTCGGCCGATCCTCGCCCGTTGGCCTCGGCCGACAGGCGAACGGTGCTTGAAAAAGGTCCACGATCTCCTAAGATCCTCATCTTCCGGAGCGCAGACAGGGAGCTGAGCTCTCTGTCGCCCTTCCAGCGGAAGGATGGCTGCGACCGGTTTGGTTCGATAGTTCGTTGTGACCGGATGCGTGATGGCGCGCTGGAGGTCGAGTTCAGGAAAAGCGAGGAGGCGGCGAAAGCATTGGACGCTACTCGCTTCGTGTTCTCCGAGGGACGGGCATCCGGCCGGAGGCTCGTTTCCATCCCGCTTACAGTGGAGCCCCACCGTTCTAAGAACTCCTCACGAGGGGTCATTAACTGTTTCGATTTGAGGGGAGTGAGCGACGAGGATATTGCGGACGGGCTCGCCGATTTCGGCGTGACAGCGGCTCGCCGCATCATGACGAAGAGAGGCACGGTCTCGACCAACAACATCATTCTGACATTTGACTCTACCGACTTGCCGAGTGAGATTCGCGTGGGCTACGTGAAGGTTCGCGTGCGGCCTTTCGTCCCAGCGCCCATGCGCTGCTTCCGCTGCCAACGTTTCGGCCACACAAAGGACAACTGCCGAGGAAGACCCACGTGCTCCAAGTGTGCTTCGCAGGACCACACTGACGAAACCTGTGACTCGGAGACCCCCCGATGCGTCAACTGCGGAGAGGGGCAGACGCCGCACTCCGCGTATGATAGGTCTTGCCCTGCATACGTCAAGGAGAAAGAGATCATGACCATCAAGGCTACCAGAAATCTGTCTTTCAAAGAGGCCCGGGAGGTGTACAACCAGAGTCACCCGAAGACCTCGTATGCCCAGAAGGTGAGAGTCACAAACTCTACCGATGCCTCCCAGATGAGCGTAGCACAGCTCGTGCAGCTTCTCAAACGATTCGGCCTCACCGTCGTAGCCACTGGTGACTCAGCGGACACCACGGCGCCTCGTGCGCCGCCGAGCAACACAGAGCAGGCTGCTCAAGAGTCAGTGTGGGGTCCACCCAGTCCCGCTCCAGCCGCGAACGGTAATGGAGACGATTGGATCGTCGTCCAGCGCCGACAGGGTGGTTGGCGCCCCCCGGCGCAGGGTAAGGCGCCACCCACCCCGCCCCGCCCCCGACCGTCTACGGCGGTGCAGGAGGCTCTGCGGCGGGGGGAGGAGGAGAGAAGGGCACGTGAGGCGAGGAGGGCTCGCCTCGTCCAGAAGGCCCTCGAGGCTAAGGAAGCCTCGTCTGCCGACTCCGCCTCCGGGAGTGCCAATGCGGCTGTCGCCGCTGACACCCCGGAGACACCTGAGGCGGGGACTCGGCCCATCATGGGTCCCCCGCCGCCTCCTCCACCTCCGCAGCGGCGGCCACCACCGCCGCTGCCAGAGACGCCTGTGTCGAGGACACAGGCCGCCGCCTCGACATCCCCGTCGGGGCGGCAACAGCCCTCCGCGGCTCCAGGGCGCCTCGCCAAGCGGCAGACGCCCCCGAGCTGGTCACCTTCGGAGGGCGACGCCCCCCGGTCGAAAAGGCCCCAGCCGGGCCCGAGCCATGCCCGATCTGCCTCTGCTGAAGGGAGGCTTCACCGAGAGGGCTCAGGGCACCCCCGTATCCGCTACGGGGGGAGCGCCTCCTCGGAGTTAGAGGACCTAGTCTAGTCTTTCAGTCTAGTCATTTCCTCTTTTATCCTTTTATCTTTTTCGCGCTATTGCGCTTTTTTACCAGGTGCATTTCTCTCGGTGCTTTTTACCTTTTTTGTGGTCAGTCAGGTATCTGTGTGCGCCTTTGCCTCATGTTATACGCGCCCTTTTTGCGCCTTTTTAACCACGCCTTTTATTCTACAGTGGAACTGTAGAGGCCTCCGGGCCAACTACCAGGACCTACAGTCTCTTATCCGTTGGCGCACACCCCTTGTTTTAGGTCTCCAGGAGACCAAGCTAGCGCCAAACGTTACCTTTGCCATCAAGGGCTACTCTGTTTTTAGAAGAGACCTGGACACCCCTACCATTGCCCATGGAGGTGTGCTTCTGGCGGTTCACCACAGCGTACCTGCTCGCCAGGTGCCGCTGCAGACTCCTCTGCAGGCGGTGGCCGCCAGAGTTGATTTCAACCACCGGGAACTGACAGTGTGCTCTTTATACCTACCACCAGGTATAGCGCTCCCGGTGGTTGAGCTGCATCGACTTGTCGATGAGCTTCCACCTCCGGTCCTGGTAGTCGGCGATTTTAATGCCCATAGCCTGGCGTGGGGATGCGACACGACTGGCACTCGTGGTCGACTTTTAGAATCTTTTATCCGCGATGAGGCGCTGTGTATTTTAAATACAGGACAGCGCACCCATTTTACAACACCCTCCGGTCAAACATCGGCTCTGGACCTGAGCTTAGTCAGTCCGCGGCTAGCTCAGCTTTTTACCTGGTCCGTCCATGACGACCCACTCGGGAGCGACCACTTCCCAGTGTGGCTGGAGCACCAGGAGTCCCCAGTGTCAGGCAACCGTCCACCTAGGTGGAATGTTCGGAAGGCCGACTGGGGCGAATTCCAGGCCGCCGTAGAGGCCACGGTTTTATCCAGAGCCGACCCCTCTGTGATGTCTACAGAGGATTTTACATGTTTACTCATTGACTCCGCAAACGGGTGCATACCCAAGACGTCGAGTCAGCCTCGTCGTCCTCCGGTCCCGTGGTGGACCAAGGAATGCGGAGATGCGATTCGTGCCAGGAAGCGCGCTTTTAGAAAGTTTGACCGGAGTAGTACTACTGAGAACCTCATCGCTTTTAAGAAAGCGCGGGCTTTTGCCCGTCGCGTTTTAAAAGAGGCAAAGGCTGTTTCATGGCGCACGTACGTGAGTTCCTTAAACCGTTTTACTCCTACGACCCAGATATGGGCACGCATGAAGCGCATTGAAGGCCGGTTCAGCTCTGTTCCGCTTCCGGTTTTAAGAGTGAACAACACGGACATATCCCACCCTTTAGACGTCGCAGAGACGATAGGCCGTGCACTCTATCAGCGCTGCCGAGGAGAGCCGTCCTCACGACCTGCACCAGCCGCCGTGGACTTCAGCACAGCTGAAAATTTGATGTACAATGAGCCTTTCTCTATGGCTGAGCTCACGTCTGCCATCAGCTCGTTGCGCAGCGTCTCAGAAGGTCCGGATGCTGTCCACAACGACATGCTCCGTCATCTCCCAGCAGTTGCCCTCGAGGCGCTGCTAGCAACTTTCAATTCGCTTTGGGAGACTAGCACTTTCCCTGAGACCTGGCGGGAAGCCACTATCATTCCTATCTTGAAGGCTGGCAAGTCGGGACATGACCCTCTCCACTATCGGCCCATCTCTCTCACATCATCGCTTTCAAAGCTGATGGAGAAGATGGTCAATGTGCGTCTTAGCTGGTTTTTGGAACATCACGGTGTTTTTACAAACGCCCAGTGCGGCTTTAGAAAGCACCGCAGCCCTGTTGACCACATTTTAGCCCTCGACACCGAGATACGCACCTGTTTTACTGAAAAGAAGCACCTTGGAGCACTGTTCTTTGATATTGAGGCGGCCTATGATACAGTGTTACGACACAGAATACTTTCCAAAGTACACAAGTACGGCATACGCGGCCGGATGGGCCTCTTTATTAAGAACTTTTTATCGGGTCGTCGGTTCAAAGTCCGAGTTGGCAGTAGTCTTTCGAGCAGTTTTACCCAAGATAACGGAGTTCCCCAGGGCGGGGTGCTTAGTGTGGCGCTCTTTGCAGTGGCGATCAATGACATCGCTGATGATCTGCCGGTCTCGATCGGTAGATGGCTCTTCGTGGATG